TGACTACCTTCCCTCTCTTTGTTACCATCCGACTACACTTCTCCAGTCCGAACGACATTCCAATGTCATTGCTGTATAGCCTGGTAGTGTGGATCAGTGAATCGATGTCTCGTTCACTCTTGGCATACAGCTTGATGTCATCCATGTACAGGAGGTGGCTGACAACTGCTCCGTTCCGTAGTCGGTATCCGTAGCCAGTCTTGTTAATGATCTCACTGAGGGGGTTCAGGCCTATGCAGAACAGCAGTGGGGACAGAGCATCTCCTTGGTAGATCCCGCACTTGATGGTAACTTGTGCTATGGGCTTGGAGTTGGCCTCTAGTGTTGTACGCCACATCCCCATTGAGTTCCTGATGAAGGCTCTTAGGGTCCCATTGATCTTGTACAATTCTAGGCATTCCAGTATCCAGCTGTGGGGCATTGAGTCATAGGCCTTCTTGTAATCAATCCAGGAAGTGCACAGGTTGGTCAGTCTGGTCTTGCAGTCTCGGCTGATTGTTCTGTCTACCAGTAGCTGGTGTTTTGCACCTCTGGTATTCTTGCCAATTCCTTTCTGTGTCCCGCTCATGTATTGACCCATGTGCCTGTTCATCTTAGCCGATATGATGCCTGACAGGAGCTTCCATGTAGTACTGAGGCAGGTTATTGGTCGGTAGTTGGAGGGGACCGGTCCCTTCTTGGGGTCCTTGGGGATCAGGACCGTCCGGCCTTCAGTTAGCCATTCCGGGTGTCTTTCGTTAACTAGCAGCTGGTTCATTTGTGCTGCCAGACGCTCGTGGAGTGCAGTCAGCTTCTTCAGCCAGTAGGCGTGAACCATGTCGGGCCCTGGTGCTGTCCAACTCTTCATACTGGAGACCCTTTCTTGGATATCTGCTACTGTGATGGTTACTGGACCCTGTTCAGGGAGGTCGCTGTGGTCTGCCCTCAGATCCTCTAGCCACTGAGCATTGCCGTTATGGGTTGCATCCTTCTCCCATATGCTCTTCCAGTATTGCTCCGTCTCCAGCCTTGGTGGTGCTGTTCTCTTATTGTTCCCTTGCCACTGAGAGTACACCTTTGCTGGTTCTGTGGAGAACAGCTGGTTTATTCTCCTGCCTTCTATCTCTCTGGTGTACCTCCTCAAGCGGCTGGCCAAGGCTGTGAGTCTTTGCTTGGCAGTTTCCAAGGCCTCAGGTATGGACAACTTGCTGTATTTCTTATGCACCTTCTTTGTCGCACCTTTCTGCAACTCCGTTAGTTGGCTAACCTCCCTCCGTGCTACTTTGATCTTGCCCTCTAGCCTCCTTCTCCATGGAGGGTACTGCCCCTTGTGGCTGTTCAACTTGTAGCCAAGCATCTCACTGATCAGTGCTGCCGTATTGTAGATCAGCTTGTTAGTGTCGGTAATCGTGGTTGTAGGTATTGCCCGTAGTGCTGCATTAACATCATCGAGCAGACCTTCTGAGGGTACTTCACGTAATCTTGGTAACCGGCTACGGGGGATCCAGGTTTCAAGCTTGGCCATGATCCTATTTTTCAGGTCAGTTCCTCTCGCACTCAACGATCCTTCTCCTATCGCACTTGGGGCTATGTACCCAATCTCGGGTGGGGGTGATGATATCTCCCCCCTGACCTGGCGTCCTGACTCCTCCTTGCCGTAGCATTTGTGTTGTACCTCGTCAATCTCTAGCTGTGAGAGCAGTACCCTATATATATATATATATATATATATATATATATATATATATATATACATATATATGTATATATATATATATATATATATATATATATACATATATATGTATATATATATATATATATATGTATGTATATATATATGTATATGTATATGTATATGTATATATATATATGTATGTATATATATATATTAGATTTATAGATGGCACCATCTATGGATATACAAAACCTGACAGAAGAGGAACATTGCAGCTTAAAAGTGTTTCACTTCAAGAATGACTTGAGAGTTTTCAAAGAAGAAAAAGGCAAAAACTGACTTCCTGACTTGAAGGAAAACAACACATTTATATATCATAGAGAAAGACATGAAACACAACATGTGAAAGAAGCGGATATGTGTTTGCAATGGACAGGAAATGTACTCACGTCAAACAACTGCTGTAGTCAAAGCTACAGGTACTGTTTGAGGTTAGTGTAACAGCGAAAGAAGCACAGAGAGATGAAAATCTGATCTTATCTGGTTTAAGTGCAGCTTCTATTTCTGCATTTATTATTATTCATACAAAACACTTTGTGATCGTCTTCATCACATCAGAGTGAATCAGAGTCAGTGATGATGGCAGACTTTGCTCTGCATGACGGGGTTATTCTGTAAGTACATTTCTGTCGTTGTTTGAATGGCACCAATTTTGATAATTCATTCAGTCAAGTTTTAAGACATTCATTTGTTAATTTATTTTAATCTCCCAGTGTGTTCAAATTAATTTTCAGAGGCAAAAACACATTTAATTAGTTCCAGCAGTTTATGAGTGCAGGTGGAGAGGAGTTTGGTTTTACTGTTTAGATTATTTATGGATAATTATTATCTTTCATTCATATATATGTGCGCTTGGAGGTTTGTAAATATTTATTAAAATTATACATATGTGTAATAAAACGTACTGTCTGTCTGTTATTGGTCAGTTTAGTCTGCATATTACAGGCCTTTTCATAAAAATCTGACAGACATGGTCAGACCTTGTTAAGTCTTAATTTCTGTGTAAAAGGAAGGAAGCAGAGAGAAGAAGTTTTAAAAACTCTTGGTTTCCTTCCCAGTTCTGTGGTTATGTGGCTGAGTATAAACATGTGACAGCATGCTGTAGATTAGGTTAAGTTGTTATTTCTGTGTAAAAGGAAGGAAGCAGAGAGAAGAGTTGAAAAAAAAATAGTTTCCTTCACAGCTCTTTGGTATCTGCTGTGCTGCTGCTTCACTCTCTCTCTTTAGAGAAAGTTGTAGAAGTTTTCAGACGTGTCACTGCTGGATGTGAGGATGGGAGCCACTTTGCTCTGTGAGCTGGGCCTATTCTGTGAGTTCATCACTGACTCCTATTGTTTGATTCATACTGATCCATAAACATGTTTTAGTAAGAAGAACAGAGCATCAATCATTTGTACCATTTCAGGTCATGTGATCAGAGGATTTTAGTGCACTGATTCAGATCAGAGTGAAGCTGGTTTAGTTTATCTAAGAAAGGTTTGTTTCTCCATCAGTGATAATTTGATGCATTTTGTATTGTAATATAAAATGTAACCAATCATACTAGACACTGATAAGACTCCAAGCAATTTAAGAAGCTTGGTTAGGAAAGCGACTTGAGTTTAAACCCTAATGGCATTTGTCCCTTAAGAAGATCATAAACTGACTATTTATTCTATTTATATGCCTCACACAATGAGGAACTGTGGAATGCCAGGACTGCCAAAATGAATTAATTAAATACAACGTTAAATAATTAAGTAAATGTGTCAGTAATTAATAACAATTTAAATTAATTAATTAAATACATATTTATGACATATTTAATTTGTTAATTATCAACACATTTAATTAAGTATGTATTTATTTCACATTTTAATTAATTATTGACATGTTTAATTAATTATTTCATGATATATTTATTTATTTCATTCATTAAATGAATTAATCAAATACACAATTAAATAATATCGAGCGCCCAGTCTCACAGCAAAGTGTGTGATAGTACCTCTAAGGAGCTTGGAAAGAAAAGCGTCTGGACTTAAAGAAGTCCAGACGCTTTTCTTTCCAAGCTCCTTAGACTACGATGACCTGGATGACTGAGAAGCTTCACAGATGTGTGACAGACCCGCTCGACCCGCAGACAAAGCGTGGGTCCTAATACACAGCTGTCATAACCCCCCCCCCCCCCCCCCCGACTGCCACCTCTCGGAGGTTCAACAGAGACTTCATTTACTGACATTATATCTATCGAGTCTTTTTTTCCTGATGTTTGTATGTGCCATACTTGTTTCAGTCACAAGTAAATTAGTTTGTTTTTTTTGTTTTTTTAGTTCAGAGCTGCTGGTGCTTGTGTTTCCCTCACAGTGACTGACCTGGGTTACAGACGACAAACACAATTTAAACCGAGAGCGATGGACACCTAGAAAACTACAGAGCACTTTATCAGCGGCTGATATCTGGTCACTGGCACACAGCTTTAAAACGAATGAACACTGGACTTAATTTACTCAGGTTCTGTCTGCTGGGTCATGTTTACTTCACTGTTTTATTTAACACTGAGCAAATCGGTTTGGCTCAACTTAAAGTTATGTTTCATAACTGCATAGTTTTACTGAAGTTTAATGTCTCACTGGAGCACGTTATGTTAACCCAGGGTTAACAGTGTCGGTAGTATCAAACGTGCTGAGGCTGCCAGCCCCCCCTCCCCCCCCCCCCCCACCCCCCACACACACACACACACACACACCCCAGTTACCTCTAGAGACTCTGATTATGACCCTTCACTTGATATGTGACTAGGGTGTTAGCGCTGACACAGGCACTGGCCGCTTCCCTACATGTGAGGTCAAATACACGACCGCTGCCGGTTTTCTGTTGTGTGTGTGTTTTGTGTTTGCCTCTGTTAATAAAGCCCAAACCTTTGACACTGACTCGGGCTGTCTCTGATGTTACCTCCTTACATCCCTAGGCGATAACAGCCACATTTGAGTGTCTTTAGTTTGATAATGTCTGAAGTTTCTGTCTTTATTGTAGTGCTATGTACGCTCCTCTGCACTGGACACGCTCAAGGTGACTGAGAGGTTTTCACTTTTATTTAATTTATTTGTTAAATATTCATCTTAAAATACTACATAAATCTTAATTACAGTTCACATGTGTTTTATATTTTTTATTATTCAGTATATGAACAGTGTATGAACGTACTGTCACAGATTGTGTCGTGCATAAATGTTTTTCAGGTTGTTAACTTTGTGGTTGTGTTGGATTCTAGATGCTGTGCTAACTATTGAACCCAGCTGGTCCAATTTTTTCATTGGAGAGTTTGTTACCTTCAAATGTGACATGAATGAAGGAAAAGACACTGACTGGGAATACAAAACCAACAAGGATGGTCGAGAATTATTCCGCTACAGCACAATCAAAGAGCACACATTAGAAATTAAATATTCAAGTCACAGTGGTGAATATCAGTGCTCTGGTCGCATGAAGGGATCATATTATACAAAGATCAGTAACACTGTCTCTATAACTGTATTAGGTAAGTCCTCAATGACCAATAATGTGATGATTCATGTTGAAAATCATTTGAATCATAAAATTCTGACATTTAATGAATATTGTCACTGAAACTTGTTTTTTTCTGATACATTGAAACTAGAAACTTTAACAAGAACTTCTGTATTTTACTGGTTACTTTGCTCATAGTATACACAGTATTACAAAACTCACAGACTGTCATTCATTATTACTAAACGTGTGTATTTTAATGTATAACAAGAATAACTGTGGATTAAATTAGAAGCATCAAAGAAGAAGAAGCATCAAAAGCTTCATAAAATTTAGGGTGATGATGTTTCTGTTGTCTAAACCTGAAACTAGGCAGATCCCTCTGAACCCATCATTGTGTTTCCTTCAACAGTGAACTGCATTAGTTTACATCCAGTGTGACTTCTTCAGGCCTGAGCTTGGACAAACATTTATACTGTGTTTATTTAGAGATCTACAACCTGAATTACTGCAGCTCTGTCACCATGTTGAGACAGAAAAATGGCAAACATTTGAAATGTCTTAAACTGCTAGGAAAGAAAAAAACAATATAATGAAAACATGTCTGTGAAGGTTCTCAGTCATCCAGGTCATCGTAGTCTAAGGAGCTTGCAAAGAAAAGCGTCTGGACTTTTTTAGGTTGCTTGAAGACGTTTCACCTCTCATCCGAGAAGCTTCTTCAGTTCTAGGGTAAAATGTTGGAGAGTCCCAGATTTAAGCCCCGTGGGAGTTTCCCCCCAAATGGCTTCTTTCACTCCTCTTTCAAACCATGACAGATGGTTTGTGAGCAACCATCTTTGAACAGAGGCGGTGGTTTACGACACCAACTGTGTGCGATCTATAATCCAGTTTTGAGATCCCTTCCCAGACACCTTAACGCCCACTCACATCCTGGGCCATCTGATCTCAGGAAATCACATGATAGGGTGGGGCCAGGTTTCACAATGAGCTCACCCAAAACCTTGGCTGAATGTGACCCACACCCGCTTTCACACCTTGGCTCATGTGATTAGGTAGAGGATCATCAGGGGTTCTTTGTCCCTCTTTGGGGGGAAACTCCCCCGGGGTTAAAATCTGGGACTCTCCACCATTTGACCTTAGAACTGAAGAAGCTTCTCGGATGAGAGGTGAAACGTCTTCAAGCAACTCAAAGAAGTCCAGACGCTTTTCTTTGCAAGCTCCTTAGAATATAATGAAAACATTTGGAGATTTTGTTTTGTTGGAATTTGAGTCAAATGAAAAAAAAAAATCTTTTAAAATTTAGGATTTTTTAAATCTTTATAATGGATCAGGTGTACATTGTCCTCTCTTCTTTTTCATAACAGCATATAGACCCAGGGCCACACTGACAGCAGGAACAACAATCATACCAGTAGGGGGCAGTGTGACACTGACCTGCTTTGTGCAGAGCTCTGATGGATGGAAATATGAGTGGTTCAGACGAACCCAAACAACCTTTGAAGTTCCAATAAGAGGTCAACAAAACAGAGATATCAGAGTATCTCAAGGAGGAATCTACCGCTGCAGAGGAACAAGAGGAAACCCAGTTTACTACAGTGATAGAAGTGATGATGTCACTGTTACGATAACCTGTGAGTTCAGTCATTTAGTTTGAAATATACATTCACTCATGATTATCAAACATACAATGTTAAGTTTTCTGTGTTGATTTCATTTTTCTATTTGTATCTAAACTGTTAATATGTGTAAACAGTTTCCAATAAAGTTGTTGTAAAACAACAACCCAACTGGCCTCAGATATTCAGAGGTGAGACGATCACTCTGACATGTGAGGTGCAGGAAGGAGGTGAAACCACACAGTGGACACACAATAATGATGTGACATTCAGAGTTTCGGAGTCCAGCCGTGGAACCTTTCACCTGGTATAGTGACGGCAATACTACCCCGATGCTACATCACCTGAGGACAATAATTACAGAAATAAACAGAAATACAAATACTACTACTACTATTACTAATAATAATAATGATAATTTCCAACAAATAGCAGCAAATCTACAATTTTTATAAGAAAGAATAAGTCATTCTGGCCTGTGATCTCATAAAGCACTGCCATTTGTTAAAATAAAACAGACACATGACTGGGTTTAATACAAAGCCAATCAGATTTGGAGCTTTAGTGAAAATATTCAGGGTTGGAGCCACACCAGCTTGAGGGCAAAGCAGCAGATGGAGGAGAATCGAGGGAAGGAAGTCAAAAGAAAAACATCAAAATAATATTACTGTTGATATGACTACTATCCTCACCGCCACCATTCACCTACAGTAGGAGGCTAGCATACTGAGGTTGCCTTTGATGGTACAAAACATTTCATGAACATTGTTGTGTTTGTTGGGGAGAAAACTTACAAATCTACAGTACAGCACTTCAGAGTCACTACTAGCAATCAAAGATTTATGTAAATTTGACAAGCTGAATGCATTCTGTACAGGAGACATTGCACGAGATTGACTGACAATGGTCTACAGGCAATCAGGACGCAGAACACAATGCGCTGAAAATAAAAAATAAAAATAAAAAAGCATGAAAGCTGCACAAAAAATATCCGCGAAACAGAGGGGCACGAAAGTTGACCCGCGTTATAGCGAGGGACCACTGTACCGTACACAATAGAATAGAATAAAATAAAATACTATAAACAATAGAATACAAATGCTATATACAACTGAGTAAAATACAATGTTGTCAGAGAAAGAGAATTGTACTTAGTGTTATTGCACATGTGTGGATGTGTGTGTTTGGTCAGCTGCAAAGTCTTTGTTGTGGAGTGTGACAGCAGCAGGAAGGAAACACCTACATCTGTCCCACATTGTGGGTGCCACAGCCTGCCACTGAAGGAGCTGCTCAGTGCTGTCAGAGTCTCCTGCATGTGGTGGTTATTAATGTTGGGAAGGTTACTTTTAAAATGTATTCCACTACAGATTACAGAATACATGCCCCAAAAATGTATTTCGTAACATATTCCGTTACGTTACTCAATGACAGTAACATATTCTGAATACTTTGGATTACTTAATATATATTCATGCTGTTTACAACTACATGAATGTGATTTATTACTATTACTGAAGGTCTGCAGCTCCAAACCGTAGTAAAGGGACCTCTGGCTTATATGTCAGGTTCTGTGTCGGGCTCGTAGCCGAAAAATAGCTTTACTTTGTTGTCTGGGTCAAGTTTGCTAGCGAGAGACAGAGAGAGGCGTTGAAAGACTGCTCCAACGGAACTTATTGTTTCGGAGGAAAACACGAACACAGTGTACAGTCGAGTCTTAATAGCTTACTTACAACCGGGCTCATCAGGCACTCTTCTTGGCTGCAGTGGTTATTATTATATTTACATGCTTCCAGCTCCCATTTCTGCTCGATGACAACTCGTACTTTTCCACTCTCCTTTTTCTCCCTCCTCCCCCTCACAGACACATAACGGGTATGGCAGTCCACTCTCCTTGCTGCACGGACTACACTGTCCATGAGGCTACATTCTTTAGGGCTATGCCTGTAACACTCTGCCTATTAGCTTAGCACAACAACAACAACAAAAAGGTGCTCTGTCACCCAGGAAAGATAGTGATGTGTCGGTCGCGAACGAAGCAGCTCTTAGAGCCGACTCTTTGAAGTGAACGACGCGAGTCGTCTCCTTATCGCGAGCCGTGGTTTTTTTTTCTTTCTCTCACCCTCTCTCTCGCACTTTTTTTCCGCTTCACTCCGCACGCGAGCCTTGTGCTTTGCTGGGAAGTAGGGGGAGGGGCAGTAGTTACACTCCCAGTAGCACAGGAACAGAGCGGGAGGGAAAGAGAGCCAGGGACAATAACATTAAATTAGAAAGGCATAGCAATCATCCACAACTATTTTCAGTTGCAGATGATAAAGAAATCAGAATGTTTATTCATGCAGGCCTATATGACAGAGAATATGCATCTTCTTTTTGTTTTCATATTTTTATTTATATTTAATTGTGTTGTGGTTTGCAGTGTTTTGGAAAGGAAAAAGTGAAAATTTTAATAGTTAAAAGTTGAAATGTAAATAGTTGGTTTTTGTATTATATGATTTATTTATTACATTTTATGTGGAGTGAATAAATAAAAGTATACTTATGGTGGCCGTTAGAGACAGAGCACGTACAAACCCCGAAGCATGTAAAAATTCCAAAACACGTAAAAACTCAGAAGCACGTACAAAACACAACAGAAGTGCTCCACGATGCTAAGGGCAGTGTTGAGCTTTTGTTACCTAATGGCCACACAAGCCAAGAAGTACCAACGACCAGATTTGGTGTGTAAAAGTAAAAGGTAAATGAACATTTTTTTTAAAATAATTTGAATATATTTGAGTGCTTGTGTATAAATATACAAACAATACACTTATGCTTTCAATTGTGTAATTTAAGTGATCTAGGTAGCTCTGTTTTGGAAGTTCAGTTAACGCCGAAAGAGTCGGCTCTTTTTAGTGAGCCGAAAGAACCAGTTCTCTAAAAAGAGTCGGAAATCCCATCACTACAGCGAGAGCGCATCACCCTGTAACCAAGGCAACCATAACCTTGCCGCTTGGAACAACACAACATAGCAGTCAAACAAAACCCAAACAGTCCTGACCCGTGACAATATGAAACAGGAAAAGACCGCCATGTAATCCATTTATTTCAACAAAGTAACTGTATTCTAAATACCACCTTTTTAAACGGTAACTGTAACAGAATATAGTTACTTATATTTTGTATTTTAAATACCTAACGGTGGTACATGTATTCCGTTACTCCCCAACACTGGTGGTTATTAATGCATCCTTAATTATGTAATGTCTGAACACGAGAGGCACAGTCACAAACCTAAGGGCTAAGGAATAACAAAGGGAACTAGAAATAGAAAAGGCAAAACCATGAAAAACCACTAAATAAAAGAATCTTAAAGAATCAAAAACCTAAACACAGAGTCAACAGACCATGACAAATTACTTTTTAAATACATCAAAGAAAATAAAAAAGTTTCACAGTGTCAATCTAAATTAGTTTACAGTTTATTGTTTATGTTCACCATTTCCATCTAGTTGTTTAAATTGTTTAGATTGAGTCATTTATTTGTTTTTTCTTTGTCTAATCTGAACTGCAGATAAACCAAAGGCCAAACTGAGAGCTGATAACACAGCTGTTCCAGTAGGGGGCAGTGTGACCCTGACCTGCTCTGTGAACCCATCATCATCATCTGGATGGAAATACTACTGGTACAGAGATGGAAATTACTCTGAAGCCCTGACCACACAAGATGCAGTTTTCCACTCAAATGGACAAATCAGTGTCTCACAGGAAGGACTCTACAGGTGCAGAGGAGGAAGAGGAAACCCAGTTTACTACACAGAGTACAGCCAAGAAGTTCAGATTAACAAAACCTGTGAGTTTGTTAGGACATTTTAAGAGACTCGGCTCGTGTTGATGTGTTCACTGTGGAGGGTCAAGTCATTTAAACACAGCAGGGGTTGACTCAGAATCTAGTCAAGGAAAACAGATGAACTGGATCTTTTATAAAGTTATGTTATGAAATATTAAACATAAAAAAGTTGATTAATAATTAATTTTTGTTTGTTGTTACAGTAACTGTGTCAGGAGCTGACAGCTCTTCGTCTCCTGTGTGGTTGATGGTTGGACTGGTTTGTGGAGTCTCTCTCATTATTATTCTCCTGCTCTTGTTGTATCGCTGCAGACAGTCCAAGTGTAAGAGCCTCTTCTTTTCATGCTGTATTAGAGAGTTTATTTACTACACACACTTTAATTATTCACACATATACATGTATTCTGATCGAACAATTCACATCACAAACATGTGTCATAACATTTGTCTCTTTCACAGGTTCCTGCTTCACCAGGTTGGTAAAATACTTTTTATTATTATTTTAAACAAACATCAGTTACTTTTGAGTTTATTGTGTTTATTTCCTGTTTCAGGTCGATCCAGTCTGAGAGTCACAGTCCGGGCTCCTCCACAAATCATGGAGTCAACCAGAATGAAACTCATGTGTACGACTCTGTTCATCCTGGTCAGCACTTAAACCGATCTTATACACATCGAGGGCCGTTCAGAGTTTAGGGTAAGTTTGTCTGCTTCATATACAGAATGATGTTGTTATTGTACAGTATGGTATTGTCCATCTATATGTCACCAAACTAAACAGTTTCTCTCATGTTTTTACTCTCTCTCAGTAATTCTGCTGCCATGCAGGCTGGTTTATTCTTCACATTATTAAATGTCTTCAGCTCATAATATCTTTACATGTTGGAAATCACTTTGTCTCTTTGTGCTTGTCTTACAGGTCAGTGAGGAGAGCTGTAGCAGCAAAGCCAAGAAGAAGCTTTTTATGAAGCCACTCTTGCTCCTCTGCTCCACAAATATCAGACATGCTCAGCTTTATGTACATTTACAATATTACATCATAATATCATATACTTACTTATAGCAAAAAGTAAATGGAGGTATATTCAGATTTGAGTTTTGTGCGTTATAGTCAGGTATTTCTTATATTCATTCTTAAAACTTTTGTTAAAGACTTTTTCAAGAGCAGTGAGAAGAAAGTTTGAAACGTGATCTTTAGTATCTGATAGGACGACTCACATTAAGACGTACTGGTATGGGCAACAACAAATATCTTTATTGGTCTAAATTGATACAAATGATATGATCGGTACTGTATGAATTTAAATGCAATAAATATGTTTCATGTATTTTTTTTCTGTTTTTTTTCCTAATTTATAATTTTCTACGTGTATAGTTAGAAGGTAGAGAGTAAAGTCTTTTTACATTTGAATGTTTTATGTTGATTTTGGTTCAGTGTGTAAGATTATTCCCAAACTAACAACAAGAGGTTAACAGCAGCTTCCACTACAGGAGACTGTAATGTTAAATTTAGTCTATAACATTTTCTGTTGTCCAAATGGTAATTCAAAATGACCCCATGAACCACAGTAATAGGTTTGTACTTCATGTAATACTTTATTTAAAAATCATTACATCATCATTTATAACATCAGACATTACTTAAGCATATTACATACATATTTTTAATAAAGAATAATATAGTTGCCCATGTTTATAAATTACACACTAAAGTGTAGTAATGGAGGAGAAAAGCTTTATGAGAGATTAAGTCAATATTTGCTTATACATCACTAATGCTCACTAGTATTTATGTTAAAGTGTTACTGAAGTCACAGATGTAGCCAAATCTGGGAAGCTGTTTTATTTACTGCTGAGCTGCACATGCGCAGAGCCTGCTGCAGGCTGTCTGTTGAATTCACAACGGCACCAGAGCGCCCTCTACTGACTCAATAAGACCTCAGCATTGTCAATATATTTAACCTTCCACACAGAGCAGAGCTGCCAGCATTTCTTTCCTCAGAAGAACAGGGGGTGGCTGTAGCTCAGGAGGAAGAGCAGGTCATCTACTGATCAGTTCGATCCTTGGCTCCTCCAGTGTGCATGCCAAGTATCCTTGGGTAAGATACTAACCTAAGTTGCTCTCTGGTGCATCTATGCATGCTATGAATGAGTGTGATGTTAGTAAGCACGGGGTCTTGCAAAAGATCTAGCAAAAGTTTTGCGAGTGCTCACAAAAGTTAATCTTAGGTCATCTTAATTTTCTTTTTCTCTTTTTGTCCCTTGCGGGGCTCCGTAAATTTGCAGCTTTCATCAACCACTGCTAATCAAGTGGATGGAAGAGGTTTGAAGAAAAAAAAAACTTTAACTTTATTTACCATGAGCCCACCCGCTGGTGGGCCCATGGTAAATAAAGTTAAGTGTCAGTGTGGATATACAGATATAGTTCCTTGTCCCATATTTCCCATGTCAGACTCTAAACACAGCTTCCAAGTACAATCACAGGACTGTGTTTACAGCTGTTGGCCAATAGAGGCATTGATCCATTTAGAATTTATTGTATCTGTCATGGTCTCTCAGTCCACCTGGTCAATCAACACGTTGTTTCTCCTTACAAGTATAATGAACTCGATACTTTACTTTGTGTTTCTTTCCTGTACGCACTACTGCAATTTCACCAAAGAGGCAACCTGGCTGTCTTAAAGGTGATGAAAATTCATTCAGAACTAGTGACAATGATCATGTACCTTAATTATTAAAAAGTAATGGTACTAATATAAGTATCAGCGATACAGGCCCTGTATTTACTTGGTATCAGATTGATACCAAATCTTGTATTATTGAACACGACATAACAAATAGTAATGTTAAATTCATTATACTGTTATTATTTCAGCACCATGGACAGCACACATGGTTTTCACTGCATGAGCTGTGCTCTCTAACACGCGACTGTTTGTAGGGGTGGACAAATTTAGCACACATATCAACAACAACCCCAATCACAGGACCCAGTGCAATACTTCAGTCAGCGGGGCATGATTGTGGATGCCGTGTAGGTGCATCCGCCTTCCCTGCACGGCACTGCAAGCCACAACCCCCATAGTCCTGAGAAGGCCACATGTGAGATGAGCAGAGCTACATGGCTGCAGCACTGTCCTTCAGTACAGCAAAGCGATATGGTCGGAGCAGCAGGAGAATCTCACTCACTGGGTTAACTGCCAGTCAGCCACAGAGAGAACCCACTAGCCACATGAACCCACAAGACTGTGGGCAAGACACCAGAGGTGTTCTGACTTTCATCCATGTTTCTCACACAGCAGGCTGGTGTTCTTGGCTTCTTGGACTTATGAGATGCAGATACTCTCTAAGCACAATTTACCACACTGCTGGGTGTTATATACACTAGTGTATTCAGCTTTGCTGTAATGTTTCGATTCTGAGTCTCACCATGGTGCACTTTGCTGTTGTTTAAGGGGTTTTGATATTATGAAGATTAAAGGCACAACTTTACAAATCTTCATACACACACACACACAGAAGAAAGAGGGGAGTGATGATGTTTCAGAATAATAGTAATTGACAAATGGCTACATATGACATGTCTAGTGGTTCAGGTCACCCTTTAATATCCCCCACCCCCCTCCGGACAGACTGTGATGACTGCATGTGTGTAAAAGACTGTTTTTGGTTTATTTTTATCTGCTGAAAATCAGACACCACAAAATTTCTGTCTGGGCCTCCAAGAAAAGAGGAAATGCAGCCTGTGGTTTCAGCCTGAAGTCTAACGTTCATCTTTCAACACAGCACAGTGGAAATGTGCAGGTATGACAATGTGTGAAAACAGGTTAAAAGTAGCTTTATTGTGGTGATGACACATGCTGGACTAAAGGATAAATAAAGCATGTGGGCATCAAGAGAAACGGTGAAAAGCTTGTTTCTCACGCTCATGTCTTTAAGAGTCTCTGCATGGACGTGCTGTAAATGCTCATTTATCTCTGAAATAAATAAAATCATCCATCACTCGCTCTGTGAACAAAATCATATACAGACATGTTTTCTTCTTACTGCAACTTCCAAACATGTCAGTTCCTCACAGTATAACACAAAACTCCAAAGTATAATCACTGCTTTGTAACCAGCAGAGGAGCCAGTAAATCATCTATACTTACTGATACTAATGTGTCTGTTTGGCTGCTGTTACAGAAATGGTTCCTACACCTGTGATGATGACGTCAGTGTTTGACTCCAAACTGTCTGCTGTGGGGCTGTGCTATTTGACCAAAATCTCATATCCTGATATTAGACATTTATCATCCTGACGACGATATAAATCCCAAAAATTTAACATTTTCTGTAAATTCTATGAATCTCAGGCAACTCAACTTGCATGAAGTGTTTCCAGCTGGGCGTCCTTTACCTGGAATGAGAGTTTTAACCGATGCATGAAACTATACATTTTTAGACATAAATTGTAACGGCCAATGTTTATTTTTTAGCACCTGACGGATCTTTTTTGCTTCTCATCCGTAAACTCTCTGCATACTTTTTCTACGTGAATCAATTTATTTTGAAAAGTCTTGAGCTTTATTGTGAAAGGTTCACGTGGAAAACAAACTGGCGGAGAGCGGAGCCACGCAATGGTTTTAACATCATTTTTGGTAACGACAACACTTAAAAACAGGCGCTTGTCTGTCCGTATATTAAATATAAGAGAAAGAGAGAACTTTAAGAAATGAATAAAGCCACTATAGTGGCCATTAAAACGATGAAAAAAATATTGCTGTAATAGGAAACGATAGACGTTTTTATATCGTCATCCGATACATATCGTTATATTGAACAGCCCTATCCTGCTGGAATCTGCAGTATCACAGAGTCCCCAAGTTTTTAGGCTTTATTAGACGTTATATCTTGAAGCATTATAAACTCATAAAATATTGATATGTACTGAAACACTGCACTTACTTCAACGTATAAGCTACAAATAAGCGAAAAACAGGACGTTAAGTCTTAATGTATTTTTCCTTTCCCACAGAAAAGTGGAGGGATGGAGAAACACACCTGCTGTTAAACAATATAAAACACTTGGATATCAACATGTTTGTGAGTGTGTGTAGATGATACTGCAACAAACCTTAATCATAACCTTTGTAAGAAAGTGTTTGACAGGATGTAGGATGGAGTTTGGCACTAGTCAGTGACAAAATACTTGTGAGGCCCTGAAACAAGACCCAGGTTGTGGTTAAGCAAAGAGGCTGATTGATTGTCTGAAGCAGTTATAAGAGCACAAAGCTATTGACCTGACCTCATTCCACAGTCTATACCCAGGGGAAGCCACACCAAGTCTGTATGTTTTAATGAATGCTGCGCCTTTAAGACCAATTGTCTGTATGATCCAATTGGTCACCTATAACATCTCAAAGTTATAGCTGGCTTTAATCCTCAACCCGTTGATAGGCAGTCTAAACACCACATCCAGAACACCTTGGATTTTGTTGAGAGGGTACGAGATGTTATTATGAAGGTAGATAACACAATGGACTTGTGTTCCAGTCACTGGAGCAGTGGAGATAGTTTGTAAGAGATTACTGGATAACCTCAACCTCAGCAACAGGACCACTCTCAGCACCGACCAAGTGTGTTTGCTCTTGGTACCGTGTCTTCATTCCACCTACTTCACATACAAGGGTCAGTACTTTTATGTGAAGCATTATAAACAGCACTGTTTATAATGTTGGGAAACCTGCAGTCAGCTGAGACTGAAGGAGTCACTTGGATGAGTGAGAAAAGTATTTCTCACTGAAAACTACATCCAGATGATCAGAATCAACTTTTTGAGAATGAAGGATGGAGGCTGTGTTTGTGTGCTTTACCTGTGATTGATACTACAGACTGTATATTGACAATGGCCATTGCCATGTGTTTTGATCGAGTGAGAGCTGAGATACACTGTAGGCTCATATAGAGGAGACTAACAGAGTAGC